TGTTATAAATCTATCTGGAATAGTTTTAATGTTCTATGCTGAGTATCATGAACAACGCTTAGATTAAATGAAACGAACAGTGCTGAGTTGTATCAATCTGAGAATGAAAAAATTAAACTCGATCACTAAAACTAAAGAGTTCTACCCTGTCATGATGATACCAATATAATCTTACTAATATAAATCAATAATATGTGAAGGTTCATAGAGGTATTTTAGTGAGGAAGCGTTGTAAAGAACTTTGGTAAAACATATACATATGTTATTAAAACTTGAAGTAATGGAAAGCAGATTTCAATTACAAAACTAATTTTAGAACCAAAATTATCTCTACCGAATTGCCAGATATATTTTAAAAATAACCCATTATCAATCTAACACTAACTTATTGGACTCTATTGTGTAGCTCACTTAATTATTTTTTGTTTTACAAACTACTCACTCACCTCCATCTTATAATAGAGCCAACATGTAGTCATTTGTCAACAGCATTCCTAAATCTACTATTGAACAACTGAGGGAAAAAATTTAATCTCTATGCCACAGTTCATTGCCTCGACAAACATGGGATAAATTTTAAAATTCTCCCACATGTACTCCTGCTACAGAAATGAGATCATTTGTGGCCGCGTTGAGTCTGCAACCGCATGCACCTGTTGTATGCAGCGCGTGTCGTGTTGCATGTTACAAAGGAAACATTTTTCATATGTTTACAAATTTCCTACACATGCGGTTACATAAAATAGTGAGTTTGGTTGTAGATAACATGTTCGACACAGCAAAAACACATCATGAAAATTTATTATGCAACGCCTTAATCGAGAGATTCACGTTAAAACCCTCTAGGAAAATATATAATTTTTTGGGATTTTTGTTTTGGATACAAGCGTGATGATGGTTGTTACTGTATCTCGAAGTTTATCTGAATGATTTTTCGAAATTTGTATGTGGAAGTACAACCAGTACATTGGCTAGCGCAGTTCCTACTTTAGTCTGCTACAGCAAACGCTGTGATGTTTCTTTTTTATACGATTTCTTAAGAGTCTTTGTTCGTTTGGTGCCTTTTTCCAGCGCTCACAGGCTATGAAAATACACAATTAAAATATTGCGGTATATGAAAATATCAATATTAGAGCCGTGGTGCCTATGATCGATTATCATTCAATCAAACAGAATGTTGGAAATAATATCTCAAGAATTCTCGTATTTGTACTGTACAACTGTTGTGAATGATACAAATTTAAATTTATCAGAGAGCAATATTATTAATATTTAATTTAGTCTTACAAAGAATAATTGTCTCAGTATTTTAAACATTGACAGAAGAAAGTTGTCAAAAAATTATTAAAAAAATGTCCAAGAAATCTATATTCGATCGCAAGACACATCGAGTGACCTACATACATGTATTTCTCATGGTAATTTTTATTTTATTTGAAACCTTAACCAAAATAAAGCTGACCATCCCAGTATAATATGTTGCTTTTGCACAATGCACAGAAAATAGAAATTTATTTAATTTACTATTCAAGTACCCTGGAGCAAATTATATACTAAACTTTTTTTTTTATTTTAGTTAAATCCAGAAAAAATGTATTTACTATATAGTTAGATAAATTAAATATTCATTAAAAAGTTTATGAGTCCAAAATCTAGCAATGTGATATTAAAAGAGATATGATAAGGGCACTAATACGCTCGAAAGCACAATGAAGTAAATATTTTCTACAATAATTAAATATGAAACTTTTGACAACATATTTTGGTTGTGGCGCAGAGTTTATATATTTATCTGAGGACTCTTTAATATATTAGCTCATACATACATTCGTATTCACAACAACCTAACATAATTTCAAATTAAGGTCCATATGTGTTATATTATATACATACAGAGGTATAAACATATGTATACCATATACATATATATATCTGTGTACATATACATATGGTATATCACATTTTCAAACCCATGAATTCCACAAAGCCGAAGAGGCGTAACTTTCGGTCTAGACGGTTAGTCGTTGACAACCTACTACACAGGTGTACATTGCGCACTATTACACACATACATACGTGCATATACCGTCAATTCGCATACATTCACATGAAACATTACACTTCTTTGTTTCATTAATTAAATATTTGACATGGATGCTTAATGCAGTTTTTGGTAAGCAAAGCTCTTTTTATGCGCAAGTTTGCAGCTTTGCAATGAAAACCTGCTTTTTTTTTAACGTTTTTGGGACTTTTGTAGTTTTCCTGGATTATATAACGCGGTATTTTTATTGTGTGTGTTAGTAACGGTAAATAATGTTGAATTTAATAAAGCTTTAAATGGTAACTAAATTAGCATAAATGCAGTTTGATCGCGGATTGTGCATTTATTCTGCAATATCGAAATTTAACCTGGATTATTCGTTACATGAAAAAGCTTTGAATTACTGCTTGCATGCAAATTATGCAAAATTGCAGGTAAAACATATTAAAGGTCACTTTTATGAAAGTAATGTAGGCGAAAAATTAGTAGACATATTTCTCATTTTACACTAAAAACTACTCTTTTAGTATTCAGAAATAAAAACAATATTTGGAATAATTCAAAACACCATAGCACCCAAAATTTTCACTACATATACTCACTGCTCCTTTTATGTTTTTCATACGCCTCACGGCGCATTTATTTTTGATTGTTGGCTATTAGACCAATATACCATATATTGTCCCAAATCGGTCTAACAACTGCCTTCTTGATTTAAGATGACTGCACTTCTCTGGTGTATTAATTTAGTTTCCATGACAGCTACTTGTCTAAAATTAATCCCAAGTAGCTTGCTTTCTCTCCTAATTTGGCGGCGTAAAAATCGGAATTTTGTGTTTTCTGGTAAAGAATACTAACTCTGTTTTGCTTTCATTTAAGTATAATCCGCCCGATTCGCTCCATTAATTTATATCGTTTAATATTGTTTGTACCAGGTTAGCGAGTGTACTTGAGAATTTACCTTTTACCGAACTCGCCACATCAGCAGCGTAGGCCACAACAAAAGATCTTTTCTAGATATAATCGCATTTGAACTCTCAAAAAGCTCTTACTTATAAAGTAAGTTTCTTATTTTATATTAAAAAATATTTAATTTTTTAGATTTTAAACAATTTTATTTTCAAATATATTTATCTAAGTGTTCGTAAAAATATATTTCAAATAATTTTAAGCTGATAGTCATTATTTAATAAATATTGAAGAACATATTCTTCGATAGATAGCAAATTCTACTCAAACCTACAGTGTCGTCATTATACATAGCATTTATTTAAAAGTAAAGCTAAAAGCGACTATACCGTAACTTCTACTATCCAGAACAGTTAATAATAGTTGAGATACAAGCACGTAATGTCATATCTGTAAGTCTGCATTCTATTTTGCATTTACTTCAGCTATGATCGGCCGCAGATATTTCGGAACATATGTTCGACTCTTCATCAGCGAATTTAATTTTTTTTTATTTAAATATACTTCCATTAAATTCACAGCTTTTGCTGATAACCTAGATGGATCATTAGGAAAAATACCTCAATAAGAAGAGGTTGATTTTCAAGAACGATAAAAGCTACGTCTTAAGCCAATCTTTCAAATAATTTTCTTTTCAATTAATATAGTGAAATATCCTTTTGCAGAAGTTTTATCTTTTTTTGAAAAGTTTTACAAGATGTTAGCAACGGGATTTCAGCTGATTTATGGACATTCACTTGATAAACCTCCTTGAAAGTTAGTCCTACGGAGTCAAGCATCTCAACTCATTGATACAATAAAACCACTGAGCTTTGACATTCAATTCAATATAAAAAAGTATGGACGAATATCATCTATAGCGAACAAACTACGTCAGACTGTAGGTGTTTCTGTTCGCAAGAGAGCCGGGAGTGTCCCTTCAGTATTATTTACTTTCTAAAAAGCATTCAATTTTATTTGCTGTTGTGAGCAAAGTGCTCTCTAAATTTATTTCACAGAACAGAAATTTTGGAGGTTTCGACGGTTGTTCCCCTTGGGAATTTAATTTTTATAAATAATACGCATATTTACATAATTATTATTTTTATTTAAATATATGGTATATGTTTGTATGTATAAACAAAAAAAGTTAAAAATGTATTTACAGTGAAACCTTGATATAACGAACCTCAATAAAACGAACTCTTTGATATAAGGAATTTTTCAAAATCCCCTAGCACTGCCCATTAGAGCTCATGTAAAATATACCTTTGTATTACGAATATTTTTTTTTCAACCTCACTATAACGAATTTTTAGACTCAGAAAAATATAGATCAAAACTATTTTTGACCTTTACTTAACGAATTTTTTATCCACAACCTTCATGTAACAAATGACTGCTTTCTCGTCAGCTGTTTGACTGTAGTCAAAAACATTGGTAGACGAAAATCATTTAGTATAAAAATTAGAGATTGACAGGGAGTTTGACATTCCAACAAGTACATTAGCTACAATTTTGAAATCAAAAAAAAGATTTGCTGAAGAAAGCGGGCTACCTGCAAATAGTAAACATAACAAACCTCACTGTTACGAATAACTCGATATAACGAAGATTTTCTAGTTCCTTTAGATTCGCTATATCAAGGTTACACTGTATTATGGATATGAAGTCAGTGTTACTCACAAAATTTTAATTTGTTCCATAAACTCAGGATTTCAAATCACATATCCATACATGGATATTTAAATAATTAACCACACAGTTACATATAATATAATTGTAATTTTTTTTATAAGAAATATACTCGTATATTGAATGATATTAATACTACAATTTTACTTTCCCCAGATAACTGCAAGTTTTTACCATTCGGTAATGCATGTCCGTGCTTGCTAATATTTTTATGTTTAAGCTAAATTCAATAATTTGCAATATATCTAAATATATTTAATTATATTAATATTTTATATACTTTAAATATATATTGCATACTTATATAATACTCGTATCTAATCTTTTCGCATGTGAATGTGTTTGTCCTTTAATCCAGTTGTACGCCTCGAGTGTTCTCTCAATGCATAGTTGTGTGTAGTGCTCGTAAACTTCTCGTGTGGAAAATGTAAACAGCCTACAATATATCAGTACCTATTTGCAATTCAATGATTCAACAACAAACCCTTTCCCCTTGTGTTTTCTTTTCACCGCATTCGTGTTTGTTTTACTTACCACAACAAAACCAAAATCAAAAACAATAAAAATTTCAAAAAATAAAAAAATTATAATAAAACCAAAACGCCAACCACAATATATAGTCCACCGGTGGTGGCAATCAATCCACTGCAACACCAACAAACACAACACAATCGTCAACCTGCAGCGAAGGCAGCATCGACGAGCACAACGAAGATGAGCTCGAAGACGTGCAAGAAGTCGAGGAGGAAAACATGGAGGAGCTCTATGCTGAGGACGAGGAAGTAGTGAAGAAGAAAGATGCTTACAACGTTGAACTTACGCGAAATGATGAGTGGCTGGCAATATCGCCCGCCGATAGTGCCAGCGGCAACAACAACTACAGCTGCAACGCAGCAGACTCCATAGAGGCTACCGACAACGCAGACGATTCCCTAGCGGCCAATTACAATCTCGATAATTGCAATGCCAACACCAATATCAGTTCCAATAGCAATGGCTGTGCCGGCAATTTGTTTTATAATACCAATATTAATGTGAATGCCAACACCAATCCCTGCACAAGTAGCAACAACACATCCCCAACCAATTGTAGTGCCCCGAATGTTAATGCAACGCCTAATCGCAATCGATGTAACATTTCGCAAATAAATCAAAATCAGAATCACAGCCACAATCTTAATCAGAATCTGAGTCAAAATCAAAATCAAAATCAATATTTGGTTCACAATTCGAATTCGAATCTAAATTCGTTAGCACAAAATCGCAACCAAAATTCTATGCCAAATTCCAATACGAATGCGAATGTGAGCACAATTCACAACCACATGAATCCAAGTATTTCCTCCAGTCTAGAGATAATACTCTCACCTATAATACAAAGTAGTCGACGGTAAGTTATTTGAAAATTACTTAAATTATTTTTAAATTTTTATCAAAGTAGTTATTTTATATTATATGGTATACGATATAAGTCCCAATGGTTGCGATGTGGTTATTTACGTTTTATTAAATGTTTCAGTGAATATCCTAAACAAAGAGGGTTCAGTATTATATAAAATTTTTTTTTTATTATATAAAATTAACCTTCACTGTTATGTTTTCTATTGAGCCGCAGTTAAAGTATACGAAATTTGAAGAGTCTCCACAACTATTTGCATGTAAAATATATATACTATTAATAAATTGATACATATAGTAAATCTAAAGATATACATTATTACAACATAATGAACTTGAAATTTTTACGCAACCTTCGAAGATTTTTTATCGATATTTGCGATCTATTGATCGAAGGAATACAATTTTTAATAATAATAATATAAGTTAGTAAAATGTGTAGTTATTATTTTATTTGTATTTAAAAATGTATCAAAAACACATTACTCTTATCATCTCAACAGAAAGGTTTTTTTTTTTTTTGAAATTTTGCAACAGTTGGCAACTAGCTTCAAGCTTCTAACACTAAACTATATTATACGCCATCTCTTATTTACGAATTTTGCAACTTTTATTTTAGCTAAATAATTGGCAGCCATTTTCAAACATATCTTACATATCTTTCTTAAATTTCCTATTTTTGGGGCCCAGTATTTACTAAAATATGTCTGCTCTTACACCTAAGCTTCAAATACAAAATAAGTGACTACTCTAAAATATACATATATACATTATTTTTTTGTGAAAATTTTTTAAAGGCCTGTCTCACACACTTTTACCTGTTGTTATTATCTTAGAATATCGTTTGACCTAATATTAAGAGATCGCATTTTGCCAATTACCTTACTACCACTAATAGGACTACAAATTGGCTGTAGGTCAAAGGTTAGATGGATAGTATAGAAAGAACCGTTGTAGTTGTTGGTGTTTGACATAAATCAAGACAAAATCTAAAATAATCTCAGCAATGTCAAAACTCTTCAATTATAATATTTACGGAGGTGTATTTTAACTTACGGAATCCCACTTCTAATTATGAAAAGTTCCGCAAAAGATTTAATGAAGCTGTAAGCGCCTTACAATAAGAGTGATATGAATTAAAAAAAAAACAATAATTGTTACGGAAATTCAAATGCTTTTTATTTAATGTGAAGTACAACTGATACAATTAAGTTCTGGGGATAACATCATTCAAATAGCCCTCATGACCCACTTTTGGAGTACTTTTTACACTAAATGAAATCATATGTCATGAATGGCATGTTCAATATTGGCTTCTAAAGCTTAAAGAGAGTTTTGTTTATTTACCGCACCACTCAGATGAAAGTGAGCCTCGAAAAGAGCACACAAAGTTGTAATTGGAGAACGATTATTTTAATAAATAAATTGAATAATTTGTAAACGTTGTTCTTGCGTATGTCTTTCCATGATGAAATTGTAAGCATTACTGAATATAATGAAAAAAGAATTATAGATCATGACATATTAAAAATGGCCGAAACGACTATTATATCATCCCTATTGGAAAACCCGATATTCAATATATACACATATATATATGTAATTTATTTCGGAAAATATTCGATATTCACAACTCTTTTAAAACTCACCTATTTCTTCAGAAACAATTTATATGCACGTCTTGGTCAAATAAGTTGAATACAAAACTATCGCTTGATTGTTCACGAGCTATAAATCGGCAAAATTGTACTAACATTTACGCATGCATTGTGCACACTTCAGCAGTCTATGCCAAAGCTATGCTTTCGATTTATATACTGAAGTATTTTAAAATTATTATATAATCATATTTTCGGCGTTGTAGCCACCCAATTTAACACCGTTGAAAGAGATGCCGAAAATATTTGGCCTGAGCACATTTGGTTGATATAGCATGAAATGTTTGTGAGATATGATTTTACCTAAAAGGAGGACCAACCGCACTTTTAAAAATATTCAAGTGCAAATTGTGAGCGCGGCAGTGGTCAGCTTCCACCTAACCTCGAATAACGTGTTCCAAGTTTTATCCAGATACCTTAGAAAGATATTTTATAGAAAATTTACTAACACAAAATTTGTTCTCTTTCTAAATTGATTTCCCAAAAATGGGTAACAGTCTGAGGTTTTCCTATTTCCGATTTCCAAAAATTAAGAGAAACTTAAAATGCCGTCGCTTTACAAGATAGATGAAATTCGCTGAAAGTGCTTAATGATATCCTACAAATCGAGTTCGAGAAGTGTTTGGACGATTGGAAGAAGCACTAGCATAACTGCATAATCCCGAATGGGCATTAATTAATGAAGGCGACAACATTTTTGTAGACGAAGGAATAAATTTTTTTTCCGAAAACGAAAATTCCTGTTATTTTTTTAACACACGCCGTAAACGATGATATTTTAATAACTATTTTATAATATAACAATTTCCGAGCTAGTTTGATATTTACTGCAGGATTATTTTGGTAGTATTCGTTAAGAAACTTTCCAGAGTATTTCTAAGCTCTCATTAGAATAATGTTTCGAACAATATTATTTTTAGCAATCATTAAAATGCAAGATGCTATTTCACTGGAAAAAAGTTATTTCTGTTCATGGTGTTAAAAGTATTTTCAAAGCGCCGAACAAAGTTGTTAAAAACTTTAAAATTTAAACAGCATGAAGTGGCTTAGAATCATAAAGCAAAACAATAATTTGCAAAATTAATGACAAATGCAAAAATCATGAAAGCAAAAATGCGAAAATTTGTAAACCAAAAACGGCAAATGAATTGAAATAAAAAGCAAAAAAAAATCGCACAAAAAGTGAAAACAGATCAAAAAAGCAGCGACAAATGTTTGTATAATGCATAAAATATTAATATTCATGAAAGCTGAAAAAGTTTCGGCCATAAAAAAGCGGCGGCCCACAAAAACAACAACGATAAAAGTTATAGCAAAGTTTACGAAAACCGAGCGAACTGCCGTGCAAACACAACATGCCTCGAGCGGCAAAGCCAACATTTGGAATGATACAAAATAAATAAGAAACCAACAACACAAACAAGCAACAGAATTTCAACAAGAAAACGACAATAATACCATAGGGGAATGCTGATTTCCACGCCGTCAGCTGACTTCAGCAGATTCTTTAATGCAGATATAATACAAATCCACATGCGTACATAAATATTTGTTTATGTGTGTGTGTGCACTTTATTTGCGCAACTGATTTCGCGAGTCTGCAGAAAACTCCAGCCGGGCCGCCTGATTGTCTGTTTTATGCATGAGAAAGTAAAAAGCTCGCAAATATTTATAGCGCCAGCACCAGCGAACACCAACACACACACTCACTCACACCCATTTATAAAGAGAACAAACAATATTCGCGAAATTCAAATATGGCCTACGCAACAAAAACAAATGGCAAGTCAACTTTCAATTCCGTTTACTTTTGCGCCAGCCGCTTAGTGGGAGATGTCGACGGCAACTAAGCGGCCCTCCGGGTGGGAGTATACCTCACACTCTCAGTTTGCTGCTTGCAGATCCTCCACTTTTGCTTTCTGTAGGCGGTTGTGCGTCTCAACGCACAGCGAGAATATACTCGAGTGAACTGAGCTGTAGCGCCATCTTACTTTCCACCGCACAAAGTCATCAAGAGAATTGATTTTAAAATCGAAGATTTTGGCAAGGCGTAAAGACAATGGCAAGTGTACAAAGGCACAAAGGCAGAGAGGGTGAGAGAGGGGGTTGGTTGCGAACAGTCGTATTGTAAATAATTTACTTGGCATTTCACATTGTGAAGGGCAATTGAATGTTCTTTCACTTTTGCAGTTATTTCCAGTGACGCGGCATTTTCTTGGCTGTCAGTTCGACAGTTTGAAGGGGGTGTGGCGCGTAGGCTTGGTGTGTTTTCACGGTTATTAACGATGCAAATTCAATTTATTAATGACTTCAGTTACGCGGCAAAATGTCAGTTAAAAGTAAAAGTTGAGTCAAGTCGAACTCGGTCGAGGGTTTGGCAAGCCATTGTCATAGCCAGCGATTTCATGCTAATTCTGAAAGAAGTAAATAATTTGTTTAACCTTAAATAGACATAAAGGTTATATTTAAGGTGGTGTGAATTATTTGAAAACAGAAAATATTTTTTATTTGAAAATCAGATGAAAATTTTTGCGGATAACACTGCCTTAATATGAAGTCATTTAATTATAATGATTTCAGCCTTCTCCCTAGAGGAAATCTAAAAATCACTACTAGCAGATATTGTCTACGCAATGACCTACAAACGAAAATACAAGTAAAAAAGTAAAAAAAAAGGTTGAATTTTAATCAAAATTTTTATCGTTTTTGGTATGCCTAAATTCAATTTTGGATTCAGATCAAAAAACTGGTAGGTTATTATTTAAAAAAACTAATACAGAACAGTCAGATAGTGAGTAGAATCACCACTGAAGCAAATCTGAAAACTACTGTTTCGATAAAAAGGCGATTAAAGATCAACTGATGGAGCTGATTGAAATGAGCGAGAACATTTAAGAAGCCTGTAACTCAAAACGTTTTTGAGATATCAATTCAAAATTTTAATACATTATTTCTGAGGATAAAGCCAATCGAAACATCTTTTTATACTTTTGCAACATATTGCTATAGAGTATAATAGTTTTGTTCCCCTAACGGTTGTTTGTATCATCTAAAACTAGTCGATATATATATACTAAACGTTGTCCTGTCCACGTATTAAATGTAAACTTTTTGAAATTAGCAGTAACAATTAGACCGTTTTGATGACAATTTTAATTAGAAACTTATTACAATATCTAACGTCATTCATATATATTTATCACAATCCGACCTTCCGATAACGTTTCAATATGTATATTAGAATGCTTTCAGAGGTGTTAATTGTAGAAGCTGTATTGAATGAAAACTTGAAGTCATTTTAATTGATTGTGAAAAGATTGAATCTATATTATAA